CGCTATGTGACTCTGGTCTGTGAAAGGCGGTACGTAAATAAAGATTGATTACATGGAATATTGAAAGCAGAAGAACTTGAATAATTAATAGTTAAAAAAATTATTATGTCCAGTCTTTTGTGATTAACACAAACACACAGACAGGCAGAGACAGACACACACAGACAGACAGAGACAGACCCACACAGACAGACAGGCAGAGACAGACACACACAAACAGGCAGAGACAGACACACACAAACAAGCAGAGACAGACAGACAGACACACACAGACAGAGAGAGACAGACACACACAGACAGACAGGCAGAGACAGACACACACAGACAGGCAGAGACAGACAGACAGACACACACACACACAGACAGAGAGAGACAGACAGACACACACATACACACAATGTCAAGGATTTCCTTTTCTATGCAGACAGGAGTGTGTTCAGGAACTATTCCACTTTCCAATGCACTATAATCAAAGCTGACATTTTGTGGTTCATGACAATAGTCGGCAACAACAGGGTTATGTCTCATTATAATAAACTTCACGCTGTAGAACAAACTGCCAACAGGCGTCAGGTCAAGAGGAACCGAGTTCATACCTTTTACACTGCTAAATGGATTGAACAGCGGCAGAATGTTACCAGTGACAGAGTTAAGATGAGATTCTTCACAATCCACAAACACACTCACCTTCTCTGGACACAACTGCACAGTGAAAACTACACAAAGGTCGTCTGGTGTTTAATCACTATTGTACATGTGGAGTAAACAGTAATTACGATAATGATAATAATAATGCAATAGTTTTATATAGTGCTTTTCAGGACACTCAAAGTCACTTCATATGGATCTCCTGGACTTTCACGAGTCTTTCTTAACGCGTCTCAGGTCATACCCACATACAGACACACACACACACGTTTTTGTTACCTGGTGGGTCCCTTTGACAGGGCCGTTCAGAATGGGACCCATAGACATAATCTTTTTTTACTGGGACTACTTTAAGTAATACAAAACAGTCAATAGAAAACAAACAACTCTTTTAAAGGAATTTTATTTTTGACTTTTTTTTTCGAATTGCAGTGATTCCATTTTTGACATAGAATGTAATGCCACTCCATGTCCGATGTCTAAGGTCATCTGGTGAGGCATTAATGCAGGCCAGGCAGTGAGACTTCCCAGGGACTTTTCCAGTCTGTATGAAAGGCGTCATGGTCTTCTCCACAGCCTTCACCTCAGATGCAGACCATGGCTTTCTTACACGTTCTATAGGGAGAGAAATAAAAATATATTAGCAATATACACTCCCAGGGTTAGGACCAAGCAGCCTGGCTGTAATCCCCCACCTGGTACACTTACCAGAAGGGGCACTGCCACTACCATGGGGGGCATCTGGATGAATGGTTGAAGGTTCTCCGCTTGAAGTTTCTTTTAGCCCGTCCGTTTGTGAGAGGATCTCTACTGCTCTCCCTGTCGCAACAGAAAATAAAAATACAAGTGGCCTTTAGGGGAAAAAAATTATACATATTTTAATAATATCAAGAATTACCTTCAGGCTCAATTTGTATCTGGTCGAGGCTCTTTCCTTCGAATTCCGTCACTCTTCCCTGCTCCATGGCCATCAACACTTTGCTGATTTTGGCCAGCTCCAGTGTCCCCTCTGGTAGTCTGTAATATTGTCTGTGGATGCGAATGTCATGGCCGAGGAAGTTGGCAAGTATGTCCATCTCATTCTCTTTCATATTGAGAACTGTAGACATAGTAGCTATGTGCTTTCTAAGTTTGGTTGAGGATAGCATCTCTGGATGCACCGCACCACATTCTTTGGCTACCTGCCGTAGGGAGTCTGATCCCCTGATGTGGGTGTCTGCGCCCGGGCGGGAGAAGAAGTATGGGTTATGGTCAGAGATGGAACAGGCCCTTCTGTTCTCCACCAGCACCTCCATCGAAGCAATCATTTCAGGAGTCAAAAGAACCAGCACTTTCCGACTTCTTTTCCCTTTAATTTCAATGCGTTGAAAATGCTGACACAGCTTTTTCTCAAGTTGGGACAGTCCCAGAGCAATGTCAGAATGGATCCCAGTCTTACTTCTTAAGGTAAAGGCTGTCAGTGGCATCTTTGAAACCTCACCTTCCCTTCTTCAATTGAAAATGATGACCTCACAAAGAGTCAAAACTGCCAGTTTAGACCAATGCTTAGACGTTGGCTCACTTATTAGGGTTTGCACATATTCAGGTCGACATACCTCAATATGTGCATGCATGGCTCTAACGTCCTCAGTCAGAGGGAGCAGGTCCGGAGTGTTCCACTTGGCTTGCCGGAGGGTCTGCAGGGCAGCAGAAGAAACACAGACGTCCCACCTCTTCTCAAAAAGCAGCCGGCTTCGTTGGAAGTTTTTAATAAAATGTTCATCAACACAATGCTCCATTTTTGAGTCACATTCAAGAATATCTGCTAGCTTTCTGAGGCTATGGCCGAGTTTGAGGGCCAAGGATGGAGTCTTGTATTGATTTGTTTCCTCATCATATCCAGCCACAGACCTGACTGCATCAATCACATGGTTAAAGTTGGAAGGAATAAAGAAATCCTTAATTGTTTTCAGTTTCCCTGCGGTTTTTGCTTCGTTAATTAACCTACCGACTACTCTCATTTTCTGCCTAATGTAATCATGCTTAGTCTTATCATGCCCGTGTTTTAAGTACAGGTGCTCTCCGAGTCTCAGAATCCCCTTTTCTGCTTTGACAACACCCGTGACCTCATCCTGATGCATTGCCGAAATTAAAGACCACAGCTTTTTGCTGATGCCCTCCGGTACAGGCTGGGCTAGGGAGCAGAGGGACTGGACCCTACTTCTACCTGGTTTAGCCTGGGCATCTTTCTGTGAAAGCCGGCACCTGGCCACATGCCTCCACAGCGACTTTCGCTTAAGCAATGCCCCACAGTCTATACAGTGCAAAAACTCACTGGATTTAACTGGGGAATTTGGCTGTTTAGCTGGGACTAAAGTTCCAATGCCGGCCTTTAAAACCTCAAAATTGTGCTCACGGTTTCCACTATTCCTGATCAAATCAAACTGAAGTTTACGTGCTTTAGATTTCACAGGTAGAGCCAATGCTCTGGCTACGTCACTTTCATTTCCATGTTTTCTAGTCAAATGACGGGACATTTTGTGGCAGGACATTGAACAGTAGAGGCAGAAGTGTCTCTTGCTGTAAACTCTCCCCCCATTTTTCTTCTTTTGCAGTTGCATGATAACAATCTTATTTGCCTTTGGTTCGTCACTTCCCAAGTCTTGAAGAAAAGTGTTTTTGATTTTTCTTTTTCCATACTTTTTTACAGGTTTCTTCTTGACAGTTAAATCGTCAGAATCTGAGTCGACTTCATCAATTAGGGACTCTTGACTAAGCTGCACAAACAACAAATAATTTGTAATAATACTATATAACAATTTGAAGTCATGACTTGTAGTCAGCACTTACCAGTGGTTTGTAAGCGTGCGCTTCAGTGTGCTCCTCCATGATTTCTTGCAGCCTAATGAACCACACACTTGCACCTTTTCTAGCCTGACACCTGATTTCCTCTGTTGTGCTGCTCCATGATTGGCTCCAGCCTGCTGGACTGAAATTGCCCCAGTGTGCCCCTCCTTGATATCCCGCAACCCACCACCAGGGTTCCGACACATAACACACTTTTTTCAGGAAAGTAAACCTCCAGGGGTCCTTTCCATATTTTTACAGAGACTGCATAAGGACCGTTAGAAAAGCATTACCCATTGATTATTAAGCTTGGACCAGTGGGGTCCGGTGTTTGGGCCCCACCACGTAAAACCAGTCCCCATGACGTGAGTGGAATCTCAGGTTATGGAACCCACCAGGAGTTGAAAACAAGTGCACACACACACACACACACACACACACACACACACACACACACACACACACACACACACACACACACACACACACACACACACACACACACACACACACACACACACACACACACACACACACACACACACACACACACACACACACACACACACACACACACACACACACACACACACACACACACACACACACACACACACACACACACACACACACACACACACACACACACACACACACACACACACACACACACAATTTTGTACAAGTAGGAAATGATAATTGACTGGAGTTTATGGTTGGCTGAGGCCAGGCTAAAGGATACAGCATCAGTTTGGCACTTTACAGCAGCAGCCACCTGTGGTCTTGAGAAAGCTCTGAGGCCCTGTCCTGTGCTGTGGCCCCTGCTGTCCCCAAAGGTCTCCCATCACAGTATCCCAACTCCACTTTCCTGCTTAGCTTTGAGATCTGATCAAGCTTTCACATGCAGTGTTTCTTTGGAAACATGACGTGGTTGTTTCATACTGGAGCAGCGTACATGAGAAAACATGCAGAAGCAGGAAAAACGATCTAGTTCTTTGCCAACCTCTGATATTTGAGAAGGATAAACACAAAACCAAATGTCTACACTAACTGGACAAACCAGAGCTGAAGAAACAATCCAAACAGGAGGTACGTTGGAAATGTTTATTCTGACATGAACAGAATGAATATAAATACAACTTTAGTGCGTGGTGTGTGTTTCTGTGTGTCTTTGAGTGTGTGTGTGTGTGATGGGCTGTCTATCCACGGTCCATCCCCAGCACCTTGGGTCTGCTGGGCCAGTCGTGTGGCTGGATGGGGTGGCGGTGGGAAGGAGGGACATACCCCCACTTGATGAGTGGTCACCCCTGACTCCCCCGGTCCTCACCCCATGAGGAGTGGAGAGAGCGCACAGGGGGGCTACGGTCAGAGAAGAAGAGGGGGAGGAAGAGGAGGATGGGGAACAATGTACAAACAGAGGGGACGTCCCGCGCACATAGTCCTTGTCTTTCCTGCGTTGGTCTGGTGTTAAGACAGTGTGGATGTCCTCACACTAGGGGGCGCCGCTGTGCTCCAGATGTGGCTTCTTAAACGGACATGATGTGCTTGACGAAAGCTGCAACACAAAGACAACAACAGCTCAGGTTAGAACAGACAAAAGCAGCAATGTGTGATATAAATGTTGACATTGTTATAAATTCAAAATTCTTACACTTTAAGCACAGTTTAAAAGGGTGGAATAACACCAAACTTAAATAGAAACTTTTATTAGAATTTTAGTTTTTTAATTGGAAATGTTACAGCAATGTTTAGAGCAGCATTGTAAAACTGATGACACTAGATAAAACAAACTATGTTTTGACGGCAAAGTTTATTTTTTAATAAATACTTATATTTTTGGTACAATGGAATATGGTTTTGCTCGGTAAAATCTTTTCTGTGATGTCATCTCTTAAAACCAAAAGTAGAACTATAAATATAAAAACATGACTAAACTTGGATGAAACGCTGCACTTTTAAGTAGATGAAGTCTCATAAAACTGTTCCTTTACTTTGGCAACAAAGTTATTGACAAACAAATGCAGAGTGGGCTCCATGAGAGAACTTACCCTCGTAGTGGATGCTGCCGTTCTCGTCCTCCTGACCCTGCATCAGAGACTCGATCTCGTTCTCGGTCATCTTCTCTCCTGTAGGGGTCAGCCCACACACACACATTAGGAGAGGGGTCTCATTAGAAGCCCCTCTCCTCCCCTCCTCTCTCTCCTCTCTCTCCTCTCCTCTCCTCTCCCCTCTCCTCTCTTACCCAGGGTGGACAGCACAATACGCAGCTCAGCGCCCATCACGGTGCCGTTGCCCTCCTTGTCAAAGACGCGGAGACCCTCCACGTAGTCGTCCACGGTTCCCTTGGGCAGAGCGTCCACTTTCTTCAGCATGGGCACGAAGGCGTCGAAGCCCAGCCTCTTGTTGACCAGGTCTGAGGGGAAACATACGGCTCACAAAACACACACGGGACTAGACACTACACACAGGCTCAAAGACTCGCAAAAGACCCTACAGGAGATGAGGCTTTTATATAGAAGCTTTTAAACGTATGGAATAAAAGCAAATCTATTCATGTATTCAGTTATGGATTGGCCCATTGATAGGATCCATCTCAAAACATCTTTCTACAAGGACATTTTCAAACATGTTTATGCCAGACTACAGACAAAGTACCTTAAAGTGTTGGAACCTCTATTTCCCTTGTGGTATTTGTGTTAAATGACCATTTGTATGTATCACTATCCACTAGGTAATGTCCCTGACAAGTTGTTTCTCAACCATTTTGTAAAGGCCTAAATTGAAAATACTGCAGTTTATAAACAATTGAAAATGTATGTTTTGTAATTTTGCTCCTAAAAAAAAATCTGTGCAATAAAATCAAACAATCATGGCATTATAAAACCTGTTGACCATTGCAGACTAAGCACTTTATCATTTTACAATCTCCAACGATAATATTTATTACTATTAATAATACACTTCTCTTCTTAATCCCTGTAAATTAACACAAACAGTCAACGTGTGTGTTTGTGTGTGCGATTGTATGTCTTATGTTGTTCATATTGTGTTGTTCTCTATTCATTCTGTTATTATTTATTGTATGCTTTACATCAAGTGGTAGCTGTGTGTTTGCTCCATGTCGTAAACAGTGTGTTCAGGGCTGGGAGTGGGTTTAGGGGGGTATGTTGGGGGGTATGATGGGGAGGTATGATGGGGGCTCGTACCGTCGGCGGAGGGGTTGCCGAGGATCTCGTTGACGGACTTGTTGGTGGGGTTCTGTCCGAGAGCGCGCATGATGTCGGCCACCTGGTTGAAGGCCACCTGGCTGTCACCGACTCTGTCAAAGAGACCGAAAGCCTCCTTGAAGTCTGCAGAAAGAGAATTTACCAAAAAATCAGGCTCCAGATGATCCAAAAATCACCCACAGCCTGTTTAGAACTATTTACAGCAGTGCTAACGTATTCCTTACATTCTCCCACACACTTTATCCTACATTAGAGCTGGACTTTTGGTTGTTCTGACGATTAAACGCCTGCTACGTAGATACAAAGTGCAAGAAGATGATGTCATAATCTATACCAAGAGCTGCTTGTACAAAAAAACATTTAAAATATAAATAAAAGGAAGGAAGGAACGCAGACTTGAAAAAACAATATTCCAAATCTAACTTTCATTATGGATTTCATTTTGATTGTTTAAGCTTTGAATTCACTACTAGTAGGAGTAGTTAGAGTAGTAGTAGGAGTAGCGGTAGTAGAAGAAGTAATAGTAGTGGGAGTAGTAGTAGTAGTAGAAGCAGTAGTATTGATATTAGTAGTAGTAGTAGTAGTCAAATTTGATGATATTGTGTCCTAGAACGGATATGTAGTAAAAGTATGGGGCGGCACGGTGGCTGAGTGGATAGCACTCAGCCAGATAGCAAGGTCCTGGGTTCGAATCCCGGCTGGACCAGGGCCTTTCTGAGTGGAGTTTGCATGTTCTCCGCGTGTCTGCGTAGGTTTCCTCCGGGTGCTCCGGTTTCCCCTACCACTAAAAATATGTACAATAGGTCTGGCATGTGCCTCCTGTACTGGCACCCCCACTCCCAAAAACAAAAAATGTTTACAGACTGTGCCTTATTCAGTAGTAAGTAATCTATTACTACTTACTACTTATCCAGTGTTTTTGTTATGTCATTGTGCCAGCTAACATCGGCCTCTGAAGAAGTAAAATGCAAGCTTACCACGGTGAGTTATTATAATGTGAGGATTGGAATGGGCGAGAAAGTAGAAAACAAGCTTGAATTGCCGCTAAATAGCAATATGCAATTTCACAAATGAAATAAGTAAAATTAATGATGGAGTAAAGATGCATTTGATAACTCCATTTATTTTTAAAAACAAAGTTAGTTTTGTTGTTATAGTGATAGTAGCGTAGTAGCAGTATTTACAGTTGTAGTCACAGTAGTAGAAGTAGTACTAGAAGCAGCTGTACCAGGAGGGACACTGCAAAAAATGACTATATATGCGACAATAATTGCTTGAATCGAGTTGTTTTTATCCTAATCATTTTGCTTGGAAAATCTTGTTTAAAGGCAGTCACAATGTGCCCAAAGTCAGATGTATTTAGCCAAATTAGATTTTTTTTTAACTTACTATTCATAAATTTTTGCAGTGTAGTGGACTGAACTGTAAGATATTGTTGCAGTAGTAGTAGCTGCAAAAGTAGTAGTAGTAGGGCTAGTAGTAGAAGTGGTAGGTGTAGTAGTAGTAGCAGTAGTAGAAGTGCTAGTAGCAGTAGTAGCAGCAGTAGTAGTAGTAGTAGTAGGGCTAGTAGTAGAAGTGGTAGTAGCAGTAGTAGTAGCAGTAGCAGTAGTAGTAGTAGCAGTAGTGCAGTAGTAGTGGCAGTAGCAATAGTTTTTTTTTTTTTTTTTTTTTTTTTTTTTTTTTTTTTTTTTTTTTTTTTTTTTTTTTTTTTTTTTTTTTTTTTTTTTTTTTTTTTTTTTTTTTTTTTTTTTTTTTTTTTTTTTTTGTTTTTTTTTTTTTTTTTTTTTTTTTTTTTTTTTTTTTTTTTTTTTTTTTTTTTTTTTTTTTTTTTTTTTTTTTTTTTTTTTTTTTTTTTTTTTTTTTTTTTTTTTTTTTTTTTTTTTTTTTTTTTTTTTTTTTTTTTTTTTTTTTTTTTTTTTTTTTTTTTTTTTTTTTTTTTTTTTTTTTTTTTTTTTTTTTTTTTTTTTTTTTTTTTTTTTTTTTTTTTTTTTTTTTTTTTTTTTTTTTTTTTTTTTTTTTTTTTTTTTTTTTTTTTTTTTTTTTTTTTTTTTTTTTTTTTTTTTTTTTTTTTTTTTTTTTTTTTTTTTTTTTTTTTTTTTTTTTTTTTTTTTTTTTTTTTTTTTTTTTTTTTTTTTTTTTTTTTTTTTTTTTTTTTTTTGTTTTTTTTTTTTTTTTTTTTTTTTTTTTTTTTTTTTTTTTTTTTTTTTTTTTTTTTTTTTTTTTTTTTTTTTTTTTTTTTTTTTTTTTTTTTTTTTTTTTTTTTTTTTTTTTTTTTTTTTTTTTTTTTTTTTTTTTTTTTTTTTTTTTTTTTTTTTTTTTTTTTTTTTTTTTTTTTTTTTTTTTTTTTTTTTTTTTTTTTTTTTTTTTTTTTTTTTTTTTTTTTTTTTTTTTTTTTTTTTTTTTTTTTTTTTTTTTTTTTTTTTTTTTTTTTTTTTTTTTTTTTTTTTTTTTTTTTTTTTTTTTTTTTTTTTTTTTTTTTTTTTTTTTTTTTTTTTTTTTTTTTTTTTTTTTTTTTTTTTTTTTTTTTTTTTTTTTTTTTTTTTTTTTTTTTTTTTTTTTTTTTTTTTTTTTTTTTTTTTTTTTTTTTTTTTTTTTTTTTTTTTTTTTTTTTTTTTTTTTTTTTTTTTTTTTTTTTTTTTTTTTTTTTTTTTTTTTTTTTTTTTTTTTTTTTTTTTTTTTTTTTTTTTTTTTTTTTTTTTTTTTTTTTTTTTTTTTTTTTTTTTTTTTTTTTTTTTTTTTTTTTTTTTTTTTTTTTTTTTTTTTTTTTTTTTTTTTTTTTTTTTTTTTTTTTTTTTTTTTTTTTTTTTTTTTTTTTTTTTTTTTTTTTTTTTTTTTTTTTTTTTTTTTTTTTTTTTTTTTTTTTTTTTTTTTTTTTTTTTTTTTTTTTTTTTTTTTTTTTTTTTTTTTTTTTTTTTTTTTTTTTTTTTTTTTTTTTTTTTTTTTTTTTTTTTTTTTTTTTTTTTTTTTTTTTTTTTTTTTTTTTTTTTTTTTTTTTTTTTTTTTTTTTTTTTTTTTTTTTTTTTTTTTTTTTTTTTTTTTTTTTTTTTTTTTTTTTTTTTTTTTTTTTTTTTTTTTTTTTTTTTTTTTTTTTTTTTTTTTTTTTTTTTTTTTTTTTTTTTTTTTTTTTTTTTTTTTTTTTTTTTTTTTTTTTTTTTTTTTTTTTTTTTTTTTTTTTTTTTTTTTTTTTTTTTTTTTTTTTTTGTTTTTTTTTTTTTTTTTTTTTTTTTTTTTTTTTTTTTTTTTTTTTTTTTTTTTTTTTTTTTTTTTTTTTTTTTTTTTTTTTTTTTTTTTTTTTTTTTTTTTTTTTTTTTTTTTTTTTTTTTTTTTTTTTTTTTTTTTTTTTTTTTTTTTTTTTTTTTTTTTTTTTTTTTTTTTTTTTTTTTTTTTTTTTTTTTTTTTTTTTTTTTTTTTTTTTTTTTTTTTTTTTTTTTTTTTTTTTTTTTTTTTTTTTTTTTTTTTTTTTTTTTTTTTTTTTTTTTTTTTTTTTTTTTTTTTTTTTTTTTTTTTTTTTTTTTTTTTTTTTTTTTTTTTTTTTTTTTTTTTTTTTTTTTTTTTTTTTTTTTTTTTTTTTTTTTTTTTTTTTTTTTTTTTTTTTTTTTTTTTTTTTTTTTTTTTTTTTTTTTTTTTTTTTTTTTTTTTTTTTTTTTTTTTTTTTTTTTTTTTTTTTTTTTTTTTTTTTTTTTTTTTTTTTTTTTTTTTTTTTTTTTTTTTTTTTTTTTTTTTTTTTTTTTTTTTTTTTTTTTTTTTTTTTTTTTTTTTTTTTTTTTTTTTTTTTTTTTTTTTTTTTTTTTTTTTTTTTTTTTTTTTTTTTTTTTTTTTTTTTTTTTTTTTTTTTTTTTTTTTTTTTTTTTTTTTTTTTTTTTTTTTTTTTTTTTTTTTTTTTTTTTTTTTTTTTTTTTTTTTTTTTTTTTTTTTTTTTTTTTTTTTTTTTTTTTTTTTTTTTTTTTTTTTTTTTTTTTTTTTTTTTTTTTTTTTTTTTTTTTTTTTTTTTTTTTTTTTTTTTTTTTTTTTTTTTTTTTTTTTTTTTTTTTTTTTTTTTTTTTTTTTTTTTTTTTTTTTTTTTTTTTTTTTTTTTTTTTTTTTTTTTTTTTTTTTTTTTTTTTTTTTTTTTTTTTTTTTTTTTTTTTTTTTTTTTTTTTTTTTTTTTTTTTTTTTTTTTTTTTTTTTTTTTTTTTTTTTTTTTTTTTTTTTTTTTTTTTTTTTTTTTTTTTTTTTTTTTTTTTTTTTTTTTTTTTTTTTTTTTTTTTTTTTTTTTTTTTTTTTTTTTTTTTTTTTTTTTTTTTTTTTTTTTTTTTTTTTTTTTTTTTTTTTTTTTTTTTTTTTTTTTTTTTTTTTTTTTTTTTTTTTTTTTTTTTTTTTTTTTTTTTTTTTTTTTTTTTTTTTTTTTTTTTTTTTTTTTTTTTTTTTTTTTTTTTTTTTTTTTTTTTTTTTTTTTTTTTTTTTTTTTTTTTTTTTTTTTTTTTTTTTTTTTTTTTTTTTTTTTTTTTTTTTTTTTTTTTTTTTTTTTTTTTTTTTTTTTTTTTTTTTTTTTTTTTTTTTTTTTTTTTTTTTTTTTTTTTTTTTTTTTTTTTTTTTTTTTTTTTTTTTTTTTTTTTTTTTTTTTTTTTTTTTTTTTTTTTTTTTTTTTTTTTTTTTTTTTTTTTTTTTTTTTTTTTTTTTTTTTTTTTTTTTTTTTTTTTTTTTTTTTTTTTTTTTTTTTTTTTTTTTTTTTTTTTTTTTTTTTTTTTTTTTTTTTTTTTTTTTTTTTTTTTTTTTTTTTTTTTTTTTTTTTTTTTTTTTTTTTTTTTTTTTTTTTTTTTTTTTTTTTTTTTTTTTTTTTTTTTTTTTTTTTTTTTTTTTTTTTTTTTTTTTTTTTTTTTTTTTTTTTTTTTTTTTTTTTTTTTTTTTTTTTTTTTTTTTTTTTTTTTTTTTTTTTTTTTTTTTTTTTTTTTTTTTTTTTTTTTTTTTTTTTTTTTTTTTTTTTTTTTTTTTTTTTTTTTTTTTTTTTTTTTTTTTTTTTTTTTTTTTTTTTTTTTTTTTTTTTTTTTTTTTTTTTTTTTTTTTTTTTTT